TGTCTATAGATGGGCTCCTGAAGAGATTAAAAAAGGCCATATGTTAAGGTTTGGTATGAAATGTTCAGAGTAGAGAGATTTTCATAGCAGAGAATGCTTTCTTAAACCAGTTGCTAATGTCTGACTTTGATACCTTCAATTACAGTAGATATCAATGCACTGTGAGGGACCAAGGAGCGAAGACATAGAAGACAGAAACATGTCCTTAGATTCAGTTTTTCATTCCACATTTTTAGCTGTTTTATAAAAGAGGTCAGCTTAATATAACTGCTTGTTGTCGGAAAATGTATTCTTTTAATTATATATTAATTTATCCTATTTACTCACTATAAAAGTTTTCACTCAGTCTGTTTCACCTTGAAGGCCATCCTTGAAGGATGGTGTTTGTAGACCAGACATAGCTTCTTCCCATAACAAACCAGATCCTTTCTGAGGGTTTATTCATAACATGTTACTGTTTAACCAAAGTGTGTGCAATTTGTTTTGACTCTGACTAATTTTCCATTGTAGTAAGTAAGGGGGAACGAACGCTGCTCAGGCAGAACAGGGCAGAATGCTGTGCCATAAGGGCTGTATGATGAACTGTTCTCTCTTTGCAAAGATATGAATAAATGTGCCGACTGAGTGAAATCCATCGATCTCCGTTTATTTAACTAGGATGAAAAGTTTAATACTTTTTTCCCACTACACAGCTCAAAAAGCATATTACAAAACAATAAAGTGTACACAGCTTTAGTCAATAATGACCTAACACAAAAACAGAGAAGGGTTTCTTAGAATGATTTGGCAAAAACAAAACCTAAATCCCATAAAGAGAAGAGAACTATACATTAATTCTGACTTGATCACCTGTTAAAAACAAGTTAATGGTTTGTACCTACTGGGCCAAAGCCTTTCTAGGCCACGCCTCTTTTCCAAACAGGAAGAGGTCAGCTAACCGAAAGCAAATACCTCAAAAAAGAGAAACAATTAACAGAGTACATTTAAAAACCAAACAATGGTATTATATAATAATATAAATGTTATGTTAGAAACGGACATACATTTCTAAAATCTTTGTTTGACTGCAAAACAAACAATAAAGTGAATGAGTGGACATGCACTCTAAACTGTTCAGTGTTGTGAATGAGAAAAAGTAGGGCAGAAAATACAAATAAACTATGAAGGGTTATTCTGACAATGTAATGGGAAGAAAGGAGAAGGCGTAGGACTCTTTATCTTCTGTGTGAACATTTAAAACATCTGGGTTTATAATCTTCCCTTACACAGTTCGGATACGCTTCACAGATCTGCAGCAAATAAAATGACCCTGGTTTGTTGTTTGTTCCTCAGGGTTCGATAACATTTGTCTATTTTCTGAATTAAGCTGTTCTAGTTATGGTGTTTAAAATACTTTACTGTCACCATTTACATGTACACTTGCACCTTAATCCTTATTTATCTTGATATACTGTATAGATACTGTTTATTCTTAATGCACCTTTTTCCTCCTTGTTTACACCTTCTTTAATTACTATGCCAATATGTGACCAGTGAATTTCTCTGCTGTGAGATCAATAAATCTCATCTAATCTAATCTAATCTAATTTTTTTAATCTAATCTAATCTAATTTTTTAACATAATAACATCGTTCCTATGTTAAACTTATTTACAGCAATCTAGCATCAAGTACTTGCACAGAAGCTCAAACACCTTGAATGTATCTACATTTTGTCTCATTACAAAAGCAAACTTTTTATGTTTTATGTGACTGACAACATAAAGAATAATTATAAGGTGAAAGGAAAATAATACATATTTATTAAAAATTTCTACAGATAAGACAATAATAAAAAAAAAATGGAGGTTTGAATACTTTTACACTTTTATCAATAAAGCTGCAGAGAAAATATCTACTAATTTGACTAATATGGATTTAGAACAATAAATCAGGCATAAGCAGTGTCATAAACACTAGAATTTATTTAGCATTTTAATTTCATTTCCTTTCTGATTTTTGATGTTTCACTGTTCGGAGAGCTGGGGATGTGTAATCCCATGGAGTGGTTCATCCTATAAAACCATAAATCAGATTCAGATTGAATCAATAGAAATGACAAGAATTAGTTTCCTGAGTTCCTTAAATCAGCTAATAAATACTTGCTGAGTGACGATCGCCTCCAGCTGGTACACTCTGATGTCAAAACAGGATGTTAGCAGCACTCTGCAGGCAAACCGCCCCACTGAGTGTGCCTGGAAGCGCAGTGGGACGTCCACACAGCCACAGTCTACAGACATTTCAAAGAGGAAACGATGAATAATCAGAAAAGCAGTTTGATTCAATTAAATCTGCAAATTGTCTTACTAAAAATAAGACAAAAAGAACGACAAATTATCACTCTAAAATTTGCATTTATCTACATATTGCAATTATAGAAATATTCGGGAAAGCATATGATTCTGTAATTTCCCTCTGGGATTATTAAAGTATGTCTGATTCTGACTACAGTTCCTTTTTAATAAGAACTCCTTCAGTTCAAACTAATTGGAAAAGTGACACTACAACCTAATTAGCTAAATAATAACAGTAGAGTAATAGAAAAACAACAATGCAGAAACCTAACACTTAAGCATGAATATGAATATAGAACCAGAATATTTTCCTTAGCTCAGAGGCTAACCATATCTTAGCTCCATACTTGCATTATTGTGCCTGGGTCGCCACCTCTCTAGCATTTCATATGGTGTCTATTAGAGTGCTGGAACAGCTAATTAAATAATACATTTTGGTGTAAACACCCCTAAACGGCATGAACGGTTACAATCAGAGTGTTAGAAATCCAGTTTGTGTGGGTTGTTTTTTTGTGTCTTTCTCTCCCTCCACCACCAGGTGGTGCCCTGTTCTCGTTGGTCCTCTCACACACCTGCGGCTGTTTGACTGAGGACTATTTGAGCCATGGACTGTCACTACCTCGGCGCCAGAGTGTTTGCCAGTTTTGGGTACTCTAGCCTGGCTGAGTTTTGCTGAGTCTAACTGAGTCTTTGTTTTCACTGAGCCTAACCTTGTTTTTTTTGTCTTTGCATTTTCAGCAGGAAGCCATCCTGCAAGCTGGATGTTTGGCCTTCTCCCCCTGGGAGGATTGTTTGAGTCTCACACTGAGCAGGGGATTAACCTCCACAAGTTCTGTTCAAGTCCGACTGGATTCTTGGAAGAAAGTTTTCTTGACTATCGTGAGTTCTGTTTTCTCTGTCTCTCCAAGTCATCGTTCTAAGTTCCCAAGGATCCTGAACTAACCACTGACACTTCCCTTCCCTCTTCCAGTTCCGGTTCACCAGTACACTGAGTTTCCTGAATCCAACCCCCGCTAATCTTATCAATAAACCTGTTAAAACTTTTACCCTGGTTCAGATCCCTAAAGAAAATCATGAAACAGAGCTTCTCTAACTATAATGGGGTTTTAGTTCTTGGCTCAAGATATATGCTCCTCAACCACCCCTACATCGTCACAATGACAGCATCAGAATTTAATTTGTCCCTGATCCTCATAAAATCTATAATCACCTCCATGTTTGAAAACTGACAGAAGCTTTCTTCCTACTGTTTAGTTTTTCAATAAATGAATAAGTTGTTTTAAATGTTCTTTATTGTAGACCTGTCTATATACCTGCTGAAGTTTCCCATGGTACACGTGCATCTTCTTTAATAGGTATGCTAACAGTCTGGGGAAGGCTGAAGTACTGCGGCATAGAAACGTCCACCTCGTATTTGATCACTTCGTTGTAATTAACGCTTCTCATGAGCTGAAACAAAGAGGAGGAAAAAAAAGAAGAAATCAAATATTTTTGACGTCAGCAGCCTGCAGCAGCATCTTTTTCCAGTGTATATGTATTTGTACCGACTGTTGGAGGAGCTTCTGTGTGGCTGTGGCTGCCCTCACTGTGCTGCTGTGTAAAGAGCGCATCAGAAGCCGCCTCCTGTGCTCGCTTGTGCTCATGCAGCGCTGAGCCCAGGCAGCTAAAGCTTCCTCCAAAAACACGTTAACCAAGGGCACCTGGAGCACCGCCTCACACACTTCTCCGACCTTACACTTAAGGCGTAAGGCGCACCCATCTATGTCAGCAGCAAAGAGCATTACAGCTACCGTAAAAGCCTGAAATGTTCATTTTGGCACTAAGCTCCGCAAAGATCCACGCTGAATGGGGATTCTTACCAGAGCGCCCAGGAGTTGAACTTGCAGGAAGAGGGGAAGGAAGCAGTATTTCTGATGTTGCCTTCACTACAAACATCATATCTCCAACCTAAAGAGGACATAATGATATTTCACACAAATGCAAACATATAAACAGATTTTTAAAATCCACATTTGGTTCTTTACCTTTCTATGTTTACTTTACAAATTCAAAAACAATTTTGCAGTGAAAAAAAAACCCTGTATTTTCTACAGCAGAAGTTGTATAAGCCAATATATCCATTATGAACTCTATTAATGTATTTGACATGTATAAGTTGCTCAGGAGTAAAGGTTACACCCTCAGCTAAAACATGTTAAAAAAAAAAGTGTGACTTATAGTCAGAAAAATCTGGTAAATAGCAAAGCCAGACCTGAGGACTAAGCAGCAGCACAGAGCAGTATTTGGTTCCTGTATAGAAGGGCAGGTAGAGGATGCTCAGAGTATGTCGCTGGTCTGGCTGCAGAAAAACACTCTTCTCTGTACTCAGGAACTCACTGGCTTCACCATCTGTGCAGACCAGAAGAGAGGAATTAACACCACAAAGAAACCCTGAAAGTAGCACTGAATTTTATACACAGGAATCAGATTAAAGAGACTTCATAATAATGAATGCAATAATTCTTTTTTACTGTTTATAAAAAGAATGTGAAAACTAAAGAATTATTTTTGGGTGAAAAAAGTGAAAAAAAAGAATGATTCATATAATTATTACAAGGGTTGTAGTTTAACTTTGTAAATGCTGTGTTCTATCAGACAGTTTCAAAATCAGAGGGATCTATATAATACCTGATGCAGAAACAGCTTCATTTGTAAGAGGAAAATATAGCCAAGGTAAAAAGGAAAGCCCCCCTCTTTAATTATTTAGCTTTATAAATGATCAGATTCAGTTCTGTAGAGCAACAGACTCAACAACAGTGGAGAAATGAAGCTTTGTCTCTGTCTGTCTTGAAATCCAATGGATGATTGTGGGTTTGTCAGATACCGGGAGAATCATTTGCTTAATTCTGATGTCAAAGTTTGGTACAGGATTTAGTTTGGAGCCATTTTTCCATGGATCAATTCCTTATTTCATTAAAAAGACATTCCTACGGTTTAATAATACCATGAGTGGCTCGGGCAATTTAATTCTCCTGACATTGAGGGAACAGTTCAGGATGGCCTTTTCCTAAAATGACTGCACACTATTGCAGAAAGGAAGACTAATCAAGACACTGATGAGAGAGCTGAAGGGGAAGAACCAGGTCTTCTGCACCTTACAAATGCTCTTCTGCAACAATGGCCCCATTAGCAAATCCTTAGACCGGGTGTAAGCATCCAGTCCTTCCACCTTTGCAGCACCCTAAAATTGTCTGGTTGATCAAAGAGTTACAGTCTAACCTCTGTCTTGCTTTTTTTTTTTTGTCATGAATTTAGGTTCTCCATTTATAATATATGTCTTAGAACCATACAAAAAAAAAACACAAATCATAGCCTACCAGCCCAACCAGCTCATATTACCTGTTAAGCATGGTAGTGGGCAGCTGATGATGTGGGATTCTTTTCCAGTCATAAATGTGGCATCATTGCTCCATTTTGGTGTAGCTGCTAATAAATATGTCATGATTTTTGTCTTGCCCTCTTTGTGTTCACTCTACCTCTCCT